GGTTAATTAAATAATTAATGATGTAATGTTTATGTAATTGATAAATAATTAGATGTGTGATTTTGATGTTGTGATGTAAGTTGGTGAGATCGAAAAAAATAAGCAAAAATTGACAAATTTGGAGAAATGGCTAAATTGTAAGGGATCCAAAATTCGGGGACTAAAATGTAAATACTTAAAAGTTATGCCGAACCTCACGATGAAGATTTGAGAGTGCTCGGAGTCAATTGGATAAATGAAGACGTCAATGGAATCAAATTTAGTCAAAAGATGATCACAAATCAATTTCCAACCGAAAAATTATGCTCTGATGTTTTAGAAAGTGATCGAATTGGAGAATGATGTCTGAATCAAAGTTGTAGTCAGATGAGTTAGCTTTCCAACGCATTTTGAATCGCCTCAATCGGATATCGGAATACAAAGTTCTGATAAAAAAACTGAAAGAAGTTGCAGATGCCTGTTTAAACCAAGANGTGATCGAATTGGAGAATGATGTCTGAATCAAAGTTGTAGTCAGATGAGTTAGCTTTCCAACGCATTTTGAATCGCCTCAATCGGATATCGGAATACAAAGTTCTGATAAAAACACTGAAAGAAGGTGCAGCTACCTGTTTAAAACAAGAAATTCCGTTACATAGTCCGTTAAAACAACAAATTCCATTCGTTTTTCCGTTAAAAACAACAAATTCCGTTACATAGCCACTTTTAATATATAGAAGATATACTTTTTACAAGTTTAATTTAAATTAATAAGTTCTTTTGTTGTAAAACTAAAATAATTACTTAAGTAAATAGGAAATTGCGCGTGAATACAAATCGAGAGTATGTAAGTGGTAAGCCAAAAGTAAGTAGAAAATCGATAAATTTGACCAAGACACCGTTTGGTAACCATTATTTTAGAAAAAAATGCATTCTTTGTGTCAAACCACACTTTTTTGTGGTTGAAAATGAAAGAAAAGTTATTGATGTGATGGAAAATATTATTTTATTGATGAATGTGTGGTTGAAAATTAGTAGAAGAATGAGAATGAAAAAAAGAATGGATACCAAACAAAGGCTAAATAAATCAAATTAGAAACAAATTTTGGCCGTGAACTCCATTTTAATTTTACTATATTTTTACTTTTTTCTTTTCAAACACACATTCTTCAATTAAATAATATTACATGTAAATTTAATTTTTTTCATCTTTTTTTAATTACACATTTTTTCAAAAAATTACTATTTCAATTTTCAAAACATCCAAAACCTCATTAAAATGGAGCCCAAACAAATTTATTGTTTGATAAATATCATATTCTTCGTCATCCAATCCCCTCCTATCATGCACTCACATAAAAACAATTAGAAAGATTCATTTTTTATTCGATTCTTCGATTTTAGGTCTAGAATCAAGAACCGAACCAAGCCCGTCGGTTCTCGATTTATATACTCGTTCGGGTATTTAATTTAAGAAGAACCACTCAATTCTGTTCAGTTCGATTTGAAAGTTTTGTCCAACCCTAATGATAACTATTACATTACAATATATCTCTAAGATAGTTCGAGTGACTGAATTTTACATCAAGATTGAAAAATCTCGTTTGTAAATAAGTTTTTAGATCTAAATTAAAGTTCAACGATTCTATCGAGACAAATTATTATATTATTATAGATATGAAAATTGTCGCATACAGACTACACTTCAAATTGACTTATACGGCACAACTTGGGCGACCATATCAATAGGGACCATTTTAAAAGGATAATTCTCACTTTTTCTATACTTAGTGGGGGTATTTTGTCAACAAAGTATGTATTCTTTTACATACATTGAATAAAGATGGAGCGAGTCATCCGTAAATCTTTGAATAAATGGCTAAAAAATTGCACGTGCTCACTCGCTTCAATTCCAACTGCCAAATGTTAAAATTTCAATAAAATCTAGAAAATTTTGCAATAAAATATGTACTAAATTGAAATAAACCCATTTATATATTACTCTTCCAGAATGCTCCAAAGCCGAGATTTTCTGCAGGGCCGACGGATCCCATTATCTTTAGATTTTAGGGGAAATTGACCTTTTGAAATAAATTTCGAACATTCCATTTTTTACATTGCAGTCCTTGACGTATGTGAAAATAAGGAGAGAAAGAACTTTTGGACGTTTTCCACTTAAAAATCTGTTAGGGTGCGTTTGATTGCGATGTGGAAAATGGGTGGAAATAAAATGATTTTCAGGGAAAGTAATTGTCTAGAAATTGTTTTGCAGGGCCGGAAAAAATTTGAAATTTTAGATTTTTTTGTTCACGTTTGGCTTTATTTTACATGAAAATTATCCATTAAAATGATTTTTTTTTTTTTTTTTTTTTTTTTTTTTTTTTTTTTTTT